TAATAGCTGCCTCCTGTACACCCCCTTACTGGGGGTTGAGCCTGCAACCAGGGCATGTGCCCTGACTGGGCATTGAACTATGACTTCCTGGTTCATAGGTTGATGTTCAACCACTGAGCCAAACTGGCGGTATTAATGGAGGTTCTTAACCAGGGGTGCCCGGGAAAGTCTCATGGAAGAACTTTCTCCTGCCCCACCTTCCGTAGCCCCACTCTAGAAGGTTGTGATTTAGTAGCTCTCTCTCGATCCCACGGAAACATTAGCTTCTCTCCAAGAGTTCTAGCAATGAGCCAAAGGAGTCTCACTGGAAAAGCAGTGGGGTTAGGGCCTGTCTTTTCTGCTGGGTGTCCTACCTCCTGTTGGTTGATTTTAGAACCCGAATCCCATGGTCTGATGTTCAGTTCATTTGCGGTTCATCCCCATCACAGACCAGCCTCCTGACAGAACTGGAAATACCCACTGCGGAGAAAGTAGGTCATGTGAAGGCTCATAAGTTACAATAAACTGTTCTCACCTACAGTAGGAAGAAGAAAGCACTGTCCGTTTAGCAAAGGTTGTTTATGACTCAGGCCCATCCACTTGCTACCAAGGGAAGGTCAGTGAATTCCACTCTTACATCTGGGCTTTTAGGGAGGAGGAGGTGGGGGGCTGTCCTCCAGCTCTATGCCCAGGACCCCAAGGCAAGCAGGAGAGGGACTAGGGGACATTCCTTCAGACGGAACTTCCTTCCAGGGGCTACTTCTCCTCGTCAGTCACACATTGGAGGGACTGGGCCGACCTGGTGTTGGGGGAAGGAGAGATGAGTCAGGAATGTTAATAGAACTTTGTGTAACCTGGAAATAATGTACCAAATCCAGAGAGACACTAGGATCGGGGAGAAGTGGAATTGGGGACGGCCCCTCAGGGTCCTCCTGCGATCCCTCTGTTTTGGCTTGGCACCTGTGGGACGGGGGAATAGAGGTGAGGAGACCACCTTTGGAGTTGTGTCTGGGTTTGTACATCAGGAAAGATCGCTGTCTCTTAATGGCGTCCTGTGGCAGCCCCTCTCTATTTGGTAAAGCCCCATTCACTCTGGAAGTTTTAACTACACTTGTGTTGAACGTGGGTAAGGTACAAAAAGGTTATAGAATGTCCCCCTCATCACCCGAGGGCAGGTCTCCAAGGGTCCAGGTGAGTTCCAGGTTCCCTGAGACTCAGGCTTCCTTTCCTAGGGGATGGCTTTCCTAGAATGGTGGGAGAATACAGAGACCAGTGGAGGTGCTGACCTTGACTGGACAGCGAAGTGTATTCCCATCGTCAGGAATGGGCGGCAAGCTCCTCAAATGTCTCCCTCCCACTTTGCAAAGCCTTGGAGTTTGAGCAGCAGTAGGAGAGCAGACTTGATACCCCGAAGAGCTCTGGCCCTGGTTATCCTTGGTGGGGGTGGTTGAGCAAAACATGGCCTAGATTGAGAGATATCTCAGGAGTCCACCGTTCTTCCCGCTATAAGCTTCCTCTTTGCAAGGATGAGTGGGGCCCTTTGCTGTAAATCGGGGGGCAAGTCCTCACTGTAGTGCCGCTGTGGGCAGTCTTCAGGGGCGGTGACACAGCCTCTCCCATTGGGGACTGGGAGCTTTAGGGGAGATGCAGGAGATGCAGAAGTCCTAGATGGTCTCACCCCGAGTCCACGGGGGGGTCAGGGTGGGTCACAGGAACAGCGAAAGTTGCATTTATTTCTTCCCTGTCTTACTTGTGCTCTTCCTCAGAAGAACTGATTTGGACTTAAGTGTGGGTGGTGGGGGAGGAACACTTTTCTGTAAACATAGCAACACACTTGCTTGCCATTTGCTGAGTAATGATTCTGAACCAGCCCCTGTGATGGGCACGTCTCCGTCATACGATTCACCACCCCTCCTGCAGGTAGGTATATTCACCCCGTTTTCCAGATGGGACTCCCAAGGCACAGAGAGGTACAGTCACTCACCATGATCACACAGCCAAGTAGAGTCTGAGTCAGGCTTGCTATCTCATTCTCCCTGAAATTTCCACACTCCCCTTTGAGCATGGCATGCTGCTTCCGTTATGGACCTGAAGGTGGGGTCCTGGGCCAGCCAGGCTCCTCTACGCCCACCCCGTGGGGAAAGGAATGACATGTGCTTGGTGGGCTGGGGGCGGGCCTCCCCGGCTCCCTCTGGCTAAGGCAGGGGCTGCTGTGGGGGTCCCGTCACGCGCTCTGGGGTGTGGCTATGTTTTCATTTGCCTGCCTTTCTCGTTTGCGTTGCCGTGATCTCTCAGGTGTAGTGTGCCTGTTCCCAAACCAGATACCATCTATCTCTCTCTCTTTCGTAGGCACGGTGCTGTTGTGCCAGGCAAACCAGGAGGGATCTTCCATGTACAGTGCCCCCAGTTCACTTGTATATACTTCCGCAAGTAAGCCCATGTTGTGGCTCCTTTTTTTGTTTTGTGACATAACTCTGAGTCCAGTCACCTTCCCTGCCATGTAAGTCCCCTTCCCCTCCCTCCGCACCGCCCTCCCGCGTGGCCCCCTCCAGGTGAATTTGATTTCCATGAGCATGTCTCCGTTTCCCGTTGCCTTAGCATCCAATCCCTCTGCTCATTACGTCTGAATCCTCACGTCCCGATGTCCCAGCCATTCTTTGTGCAGACCTGTCAGGACTGGGTCCAATGGATGGGACATGGGGTATTGGGGTCGGGGAGGGGAAGGGAAGGGAAGGAGGGAAGAAGCTATAGCTCATTGCCTGCCTCCTACCACAGCTTTGTAAATTCATAGGAGAAATATTGAATTAAAACATTCAGGCCATTCAACTGGCACCCTAGCCTAGCAGAGGTGCTAGGTCAGTCCTCTTGAAAGGAATTTCCTCACTGTGGGAAATATGAGTAGCCTGGGCTAGTGACTTGTTTGCAAGGCTGTTCTATCCTAGGCTATGTGATTCCATTGAGGAAGAGGAGGAGGAGAAGGAGGAGGAGGAGGAGGAGCAGGAGGAGAGAAAAGAATATGGTTGCACCCCCCCCCCCCATTTAACTAGGGGAAACAACAAGTTAAAGGTTCTCTAATAGATGTAAGTATACCCATCAAGGACTAGGGGGAGGAAACCAAAATAACAAGGGAAGCCAGATCACAATGTTGAGGTGGAAAACAAGGGTTGCTCTGCCTGGGGTGGATGCTCTGAAGCAGGGGTCCTCAAATTACGGCCCGTGGGCCACATGCAAATACAAATATTTTATTTGTTCCCGTTTTGTTTTTTACTTCAAAATAAGATATGTGCAATGTGCGTAGGAATTTGTTCATAGTTTTTTTTTTTTAAACTATAGTCCGGCCCTCCAATGGTCTGAGGGACAGTGAACTGGCCCCCTGTTTAAAAAGTTTGAGGACCCCTGCAATGGCCACTCCCTCTCTCAATTCACAGAGCAGGACATAAAGTGCTCCTGGATGCCACATGGTTCCCAGCCCCTCCTCAGTCTGACCTTGTCATCTATTTCATACTGTGTGTGTACACCCTATGCAATTCCTATACCTGCCCAAGCAGGTCCTCATTGGGATCCGTGCTCAGAAGTGAGACCATGGGGAAGTGGGATGCTTCTGAGACGGGCTAGAGAGGGGGTGGGAGAGAGCGGAGGACGCAGGCTCATGATGATTAGAGGATGAGAGACAGGAGAAGCCTGACCACCTGTCAAGACCGAGCATCTCAATTCCCAAAGGCTGAGATAAACCCACCTCTTCATTGTGGGGCAACAGTTAGAAGCAGTGACAGGGACCCCAAAACATGATCACGAGAAACATGAGGGTCCCTGAAGGCTTCAGGTCATGTGGGCAGCCAAGGGCTTCTCCCAACCAGAGCATCATCTTCAATGGCAGCTCTGACATTCATGAAATGCAAGGTGTCCAAGAAGCTAGCCATACCAGCCAGATGTGGCTCTTCCCGAATTTATGAAAAGTGTCCCATTTGGGCCAGGGCAGATGCCTGTGCATACATATCGTAGATGAGAATGCTACTGTACCTTTTCACATGCTCAGCCTTGTTTTTGATCCTCACAAAATCTGCACCAGGTAGGTTTTGTAATGTTTGCTTTACAGCCTAGGAAATGGGGGGCACAGAGAAGTGGGGTGATTCACTCAGGACCACCCAGCCAGTATAGGGTAGATTTGTTTCTCAAACCTGGGGAAATTAATCTTCTGGCCCCATTTGACTCTAAATCTCATCATCATCCCAGTATACAGATCCCTCCGTCATCTCTATACACACTATTTCTGAAGGAGAGTTGGGCTGAATTCCAGAGGGTTCCTTAGTTTTGTTCTTTAATACAGTCATCCTACGGGACCATCTGGGAGGAAACCGCCTATCTCCGCACTGTCCAGTGAGTGTGCTCCTAGGACCGAGACACTGACTTTTTCATTTTACTTAATTTTAATTAGTGTTACTCTAATTAGCCTTGAGAGGCTAATGGCCACCATATTGGACAGTGTGGCTTTCTATAATCATAGGTTGTATTTATATTTCCGTTTTTCCGTTTTCTTTTCAGAAGGGCATGAAATAAATCAAGTTTTAAAAATGCTGGTTTTAATTGGTACAGCCATTCTAGATCGACTCAGGGAATGTGTGTGTGATTGTGTCAAACACAGAACCAGGCCACAGTTCTCCATATTTATTTAAATTTTTAATTGTTTTTATTGTTGACAGTATTACAGATGTCCTCTATGTCCCCCTTTTTGCCTCCCCACTCCACCCAGCCTCTGCCCCACCCCAGGCCTTCACTACACTATTATCTGTGTCCATGGGCTATACACATATGCATATAAGTTCATTGATTAATCTCTTCTAGGCTCCCACTCCCCTGCCCTCTGAGATCTGTCAGTCTGTTCCATGCATCCGTGCCTTTGGACCTGTTCTGTCTGTCAGTTTATTTTGTTTTGTTCATTAGATTCCACATATAAGTGAGAGCATGTGATACCTGTTTCCGTTCTCCATATTAAAATCAGTGAAACACATGGGAGATGAAATCATGTGATGCAGTGGTCAGCAAACTACAGCCAAGGGTCACATCCAGCACACAGCCTGCTTTTGTAAGGCTTGTGAGCAAAGAATGAGTTTAGATTTTTTAAAAGCATTATCAAAACAAAACAAAAACAGAAATAATGGGAAAGAGACATAGGTCGCCCACAGAGCCTAAAATCTTGGTAATCTGACTCTTTATTTAAAAAAGTATTCTGAACTCTTGACTGCCGGGGTTCATGTCCCAGCATCAAGAAGGGTTCAGAAATCTGGAAAAGGCTGCGCATTGTTGACATAGGAATCCAGAGACTAATAAAGAGTCCGGAGATGAGATATAATTTTGAAAGGCAGTTGGGGTCAGAGGACCTTCAGCTAAAGGAACTGAAGACTCCCTCCTTGCCTAGGACCCTTGCTTTTATTAACACAATTTGTCCTAAGGCAAGGTGGAGATAATACACTTAAAGGGTAAGGTTTCAAAGGGTACAGAAGCATTGTCAGTTTGGGGGAATTAGCCTCCGGTTATCCAGGTGTTTGGCCAGTAGGAGGCAATAACATGTAGATTAAGATGCCCTTTAACTGTCTGGCAGCCACAATCAGTTTCCTATTCAGGTTTGGGGAAATGCCTTTAGCCATTCCCAACAGGTGACTACATGTGTGACTCAACCCTGTTGAGTCCCCAAGTCTCATCAACCTTTTGATGAAACTCTTGAAATTATGACATGCTGGAATTGGTCTACGGCACTGACCTAATGGATCCATTTTATTATTGAAAATAGACAATGGGACTGTTGCTTCACTGTTTATAATACTTTTTTTCTGAGTTTAAGAGTAAAGATTTATAATAATTATAGAAACTGTATGATGTGTGTGTGCCCAACACCCTTCATTTTAAAATTGTATAATCAGTCATATTATCTACACATTTGTCATCCTATTATTTTCACTTATCCTGTCATGTGTACTTTATGCAAATAGGTTAATGACCTCATAATAATCTGTTGTTTCATGATATTACATTTTAATCTACCCCCCCCCTCCATTTGGGATACTTAGATTGATAGCAATTTTTCAAAAATAATAAGGAAAAGCAATGCCCTGGTATGTATTAGTATCAAAGACAACAACAGTGACTAGCTAACCCTCCTAGCCCATAACAAAACAAAACAAAAGCTGGTTTCTTACCCCTCCAGTAATGGTATTTAGACTGACCGGCTCAGTTAGTGTTTTGTAAGGGCAGCCAACCTGAGACCTCCCCTTCTCCAGCTGGGTGGCTGGAGGGGCCTTCCATTATCTGTATCCTGAGGCTACGCATTATTGCTGAGTGTAAAGATTGTCCATTCCTCCCAAAGCACTTGGCTAAGACTTCCTTTCTCCCTCTTCTCCAAGTCAGCAATGCCTTTTGGGCCAGGCTGTTTGCAATTAGCTGTCTTCTTTGCAACATTTACTGTGTTTCCTCTTTCAGATTAAGGTGTACATCCTGGTACAAAGTCACACCCCATTTTCACCAGACACAGTCACCTGAGATACCTCTCCTCTCTCCAGGTGTGACATACACCTGGGTAAGGGCCAGATGCCTTGTCTCTGAGGTCTGAACAATGTGGCCTCTTTTTCTCTAAGGATCCAGCCTTTTCCACAAAAACTGAGGCCCCCTCTCTTCTCAGCCATTATTGAGGATTCACCTGGTTTTTAGCTTGAAAGTGCATGCTTCTCGCTTTGGAGGAGCAGTTGTGCTCCTGGAAAAGGGGGAAATACATTGCACTTTTGTAAATTGTATCCTCTGTGTTCACTGGCCTCTATGAGCACTTCTGAGTTTGTATTTGTTTCACGAATCTTTACCTGGCCTTAGATGTTTTAAACTTAAATTGTCCTGCTTTGTAGCCAAATAGCTCATCGTCTGTAAATAACACCCTTAAATGCAGTAGGGGAGATGGTTTTTAAAGGAACCCTGTTGAATTAGTCAGTAATGAAAATAACTCTACTGAAGTTATCTGTTTTTTCAGATGCATTTTTGCATAATGGGTTTTCCCCCTTAAGTGAACCATCCTCATAGCACGACCCAGGACACGAAAGCATGCAGAGAAAGGTTTTCACGCAGGCGTTGTCAATATAGCCTAATCCCATAGAGCCTCCCATCTCATACGACTGACTTCAGTTTCTCCTCCTCATGCCCTTTAGCATAGTGTGAAACCCTAGTTCAAGTGTCATGGGACATCAAACATCCTCTTACATGCCCTCACAAACCACTCATTCCGAGTGTACAATGGGCCTACTTTCTATCAAACTTAAATAAAGTCAGAGCAAAACTCCAGAGAATAAGGGAAGATCATCTTGCCCCAAATGCAAAACATGTAGTATTAATATTGTTGTCTTAAGATATTAATTTTAATCAACTAAATTAAACTAATAAAATACTTTTAA